GGTGTTTGTTTTTAACATAGTTCACGGTGGAGAATAGTTGCTGACATAATGTGGATTCAACCATTACTATCCATAATAGTAATGGTTGAAAGTCTCGATAAATGCACGGCGATTCGGCAGGTACCCTGGCTTCCGCGAGTGTGACGCTTATTTTGAGCGATGAAAAAATAATAGAATATAATTTTATTTTTATATTTCAATATCACAATAATCTTCCAATTTAGAACTACAAGTTAAAAAATAACTAACATAAATAAAATACACTTCAGCTAAATACTTCTAATTTATTTTCCCAAACCACGCGGAGCCGCAGTATAAGGACTAAAGAGCTGCATGCGGCTCTGGAGCCGCAGGTTGCCAACCCCTGGTATAAACCAACACGGACACACAGAGGAACATGCTAACTCCACCCTGGCAAGGTAGATGGTGTTCTTCTGGTTCCATTCCTGCCCAAGACATGTGTATGTTCCACCACTAATATAGAAAAATGCTGCGTAAGTGGAAAGCATTATAGTAGGTCTCTTACACTAAATTTAAAAACTACAACAGGGAAGTAATGAAGCAATGACTGTGGTGACTGTGAGCGTGAATGTCTCAGTCATGTGTGCAGAACATTTTTATGCTACATATTAGTCGCCATCATTAAAAATGTTGCTACAGCATTATAGGCAAGCAGTACTTATGACTTCAGGAAAGAATCACAAGAATGTGAACTAAATTCTGAGTTTGATGAGGCGCCTGTGTAAAATGTCTTGGAGTTGAGTTACATGAGCCCTCTTTGACCGCTCCCTTTTTAAAAATAGTTTTAATTCTGTACCCGAAGACAACCTTCCCCTACTAAATCATTCCCTACGAGCTTGGTGTCTTCACAATTTCCTTTTTAAACTTGCTAACTTCTTAAAAATGTCTTCTGGATAAAATGAGCCTGGACATTTTACCACAGCTCCCATTTTTAAGCAAAGTGTAATATTTTTTTTATCTGTTTGAGTTAAAGTATCCTTCCTGTGGCAGTGCCATGTGCTAAAATAGACAGGGTTAGCTTAGCGTGTTTTGATGGCAGAAACCAGACCTCCTGGAGAAATGCTGTTCACGCTCAACAAATCCACATACGAGGTGTGATCAAAAAGTTCTGGGAAAGGGCCCCTAAAAATGAAAATCATGCACCACTGGACTTTTTTTTTTAGGTTGTTGCTGCTATTTTTAAATCTTTCAGTGGAAATCTCATTCTGTCCCTTTGAATTTGTCAATCCTTCATCTTGTTTTTTATTTTGACTCCGATTAGCAAATGAGTGGCAGCTGTGCCAACAAGTCCCACCTGGCACTGCTCCCTGAACTACCCAGCTCCACCTCTCCCCCCTGCAGCTAACCTATAATCACACCCCACCACCACAGTTTGTCACATCGTGCACAACTTTGAGCATTCATTTCTTTCATGTAACCGATGATCCAAGTGTTTTTGCTCACACAGCAAGATCTAGCTGTTAAATGTAGCTGGCTTGTAAGATGGTGTATTGGAAACATGATAATAATAATAATAATAATACATTTTATTTAAGAAAGTGCCTTTCAAAACACTAAAGATATTTGTAGGAGCCTACTTGCAGTTTAATTTGAAATGTATGCTTTAATTTTGATAGTGCAGGAAAAAAACAGGAAGTTGGGCGAGAGGACAGTGGAGCCACATGGTTTTTTGACCTTGCAATCTCTCTTCATCCATTTTGAATTGAGCTTTATAAGTTTTCATAATTTGGAATTCTGTTGCTGTGTACGTGTTTGGACTTTTGAAGTAAATATTGAGAAACTATCAAGGACTGTTGGGGGTTTTTTGGATATAGAAAGAGGGACTAAGCTAAGGTTTCCTTAGCTTAGTCCAGGAAACCTACAATATTGTTACACTGATTTTTTTAAAAGCATGTAGATAAGCGACATCATCATAAATGTGGAACTTTGTTTATGAGGGGCAACATGTTTCTATGCAAAATATACATTTTGCTACCAAAACATTACCAAAATAATATTATTGACATTATTATGAATATTATTTAAACACAATGAGTTGTTTCGTGGATTTTTTTGCGTGCAATTTTGCATCCTTTTTTTTTTCTTACAACACATTGCGTTTTGCGTCCTGATTGGCTGTAGACCATTGTGAATCAATCTCGTGTCATGTCTCCTGTACAGTACAGAATGTGTCCAGCTTGTCAAATTTATATAAGTTTTTGATCGCTAGCAGTGTGACTCTGAAGTGCTGTACTGTATGTTTGTAAGTTTGCTCTCCAACAAACACAACAATGTCGAAGCACTGTTTTTCTGTAATACTGGATTTATTTTTCTACCAAGGTTTGAACTTTGAAGGTGTTTAAACAAGAGAGGGAAGTGTGGAAATGTGTATAAAGTGTGTAGTGTGGGGTTTGAAACTTCTATAATAATTGTAAAACAGTTGGCTGCTTTGCGGATTTCACCTATCGCAGGGTTTTTTTTTTTGGAACGTAACTCCGAATTAACGATAAATGAGGGACCACTGTACAGAACCCTGAGACATAGATCCACATAATAAAGTGAACAGTTATACATGACAAAATAAGAAAAGCATGTGCAAGAGTAGTTTACATGTTCTGTATTGGATTCCAGAATTGAATTTAAAATCCTTCTACTCACATAAATATTCTTAAATAATCAGGCCCCAGCTAATCTTGAAGAACTTATAGTACTGTATCACCCCATTAGAGCACTTCGCTCTCAGACTGTACCTACTTTGGCTTCCTAGAGTATTTAAAAGTAGAATGGGAGGCAGAGCCTTCAGCTTTCAGGCTCCTCTTCTGTAGAACCAGCTTCCAGTTTGGATTTGGGAGACAGACGCTATCTCTACTTCTAAGTTTAGGTTTAAAACTTTACTTTTTGATAAAGCATATAATCAGGGCTGGATCTGGTGAACCTGAATCCTCCCTTAGTTATGCTGCAATAGTGCTAGGCTGCTGGGGGATTCCCATGATGCACTGAGTGTTTCTTCTTTACTCTCTGTGTTTATACACCACTCTGCATTTAATCATTAGTTATTATTTATCTCTGGCTCTCTTCCACCGCGTGTCTGGGTCAGTCGTTTCCCCCTCACCCCCAACCATTCTCAGCAAATGGCAACCCCTCCTCGAGCCTGGTTCTGGTTTCTTCCTGTTAAAAAGGAGTTTTTCCTAGTGGTGCCGGTTTAGCTCAGTGGGTGAGCAGGTGACCATATGCTGCATGGAGTTTTTCCTTCCTGCTGTTGCCAAAGTGCTTGCTCATAAGGGGCCATTTGATATTTGGTGTATTTTTCTCCGTGTTATTAAAGGCTCTGTAACTTACAATATAAAGACCATTGAGGCAAATGTTGGCACAATATAAATAAAATTGAACTGAATAGAATTAAATTCAACTGTTACTTTTGTTATGTCTTCTGAACTAAATGTTGAACTCTCATTGTTGTGAGGAAGTGCAACTTAAGACCAGTGAGCATGAAGACTGGGAGAGTGGAAACTGGCCATCCATTGGTTCACAGTGGGAGTGGTTTATCTGATGAGATTGGAGCCACCTAGGTATGCTTATAATCTTTTGCATGCATGTACATGTTTCTGCACATGGTATGTGCAGCACCACATTCTGCTGGCCCCTAGGTTGAAGTCAGAGCGGTTCAGTGACATAAGAAGAGGCAGCAGTAGCTGAGACACCTCAAGAGAATTTGCTGCAGAAACTATTTTTCACTAAAAAAAAAAAATGCCAATTAAATATTTACTGGGCTGGTGTTTCTCATCTCTGTGAACTAGACAAAGATTCAGGAATGTAAATTAATTGATGTTAAGGTAAATCCACTTCCAGTGTTCTAATGTGTAATAAGTAGGGATGGGTACCGGTATGGCACCGGCTCTGACATAAACGGAAAAGCAAGACCGAAAAGCAGCGCACATTTCGGTGCTTTTTTTTTTCCTGAGATGTGATACACTTTAGATTCTAGCCAATCATTTTACCTTTGAAAGCATAGTAGGCGGGTCCAGGTACGTACGTTCTTTTAGAGCAGAGCTACAGATTAAAAATGCCCAAGGCGAAGCGGTCAAAGTCTGGCTGTACTTCACAGCAAAAGATGCAAACTCAGCAGCAACAAGTGCTTTAAGCTGATACTGTGATACTGTCAAAGGAGGTAACACCTCAAATCTGATGAAACACCTGGCGACGCATAGCGTTTTTTTAAAAGCCGAGAAATGCGCCGTATTTGATAGCTTGCTGCGAGACCTCACACCGAGCGCATCTACTGCGGGTGTGGTGCCTGTTATCAGACCCGGAGTTAGCAACATCCCCCAAAAACCCGAAGAGGAGAGTCCTGGCCCCTAGCCCTGCCAGTGTAGCAGAAATGATGACGGATGATGATGCAGCAGCAGCCGTTCTTCTCTGCGTGAGTAGCTTAATGTTGTTCGTGTGTAATTTACGTTGAGTAGGCTAACCACGTTATTACATTAATGCATGTAAGGTGAACTAGCAAACATCATCATAGCTACATGCGGCTGTCTTCTTGTTTGATGGCAGATACTCCCTTCACCCTGGCCAAAAAGGCTAAAATGACCAAAGAAAAAGTGGAAAACAGTTAAACATGAGAGGTTTTTGGACAAAGTTTGTGTTTTTTCCATTGTTTAAGCACTGCTTCCAGCCAAGAGTGATACCATATATGCCCCATAGCTGCAGAAAAGGCTAACATTGTTATCTTTTTACAAAAAAACAGCTGAACATGAGAGGTTTTTGGACCAATTTTGTGTTCTCCATTCTTTAAGCACCGGTTTGAGCACCGTTTAAGCACCGGCACCGTTTCAAAAGTACCGATTTGGCACCGGTATCGGATAAAACCTAAACGATACCCATCCCTAGTAATAAGTGCCAAAAAGACAGTCATCAGACTTTCCCCTCATTATTAAAGAAGGTGCTGCAAGTGCTATTACAAGGGTAAATGACCAAGACGCAGATTTATCTGAGCACTCAAATGTCAAAGCTTTATTTTCTAGTAATATTTATTAAGTAAAGAATATGAATACATAGATTAATATGTTGTCCATCAGAAATACTCTCTCTACTCAGATATCAGTAAGTGACACTGCTTTAATCTCTAATTCATTTTGGATATCTTCTGGTCTCACCGTGAGGGCATCAACAGGGCTCCAGATATCGATCACAAGCTGTTGGGGAAAATAAAAATGACAACCAGACAAAGAGAAAGATGGTCAAAGAGATGTAAAATATAGAAAACGATGTTGATTTCTGGCAGGACAAACATGAAAACAATGAAGCAGGTGAAGCTCACTGATGAAAACTATCAGTGATGGCATGAACATGGAAGCAGACTGTGACCCTGGAGGGGAGGGAGATACAGAAATGGGAACCATCCATTATTAACGGGATGCAATTATGGAAATGTCAAAGCAAATGCTTTCACACTCTTACTGGGGACTCAAGCCAATCTTTAGATTTTAAGTCACACTGTCTTATTGACAAGGACTGAAGCACTGATCTTTCAATTCAATTTTTCAATTCAATGTTATTTATATGCGCAACAACAACAGTTGCCTGAACAACACGTTCTCCCGCCTAGGGAGTGAGAATGGTCTGGCCTGAAACAACATGCTCTATCTTCTGAGCCAAAGCCACCTGAGAAGGCACTGCTCAGTGAAAGTGTGCAAAATGGCTACAGCATGAAAGCCCAGGCAGTATTTGTCTCAAGCTGGTACTTTGTTGTGCACAAATCCTGTGTTAGATGTCAGATTTTGCATCCAGTTTTGTATTTGTAAAGTTCCATAAATAAGAAAAGGCTGTAAATGGCAAAGGAATTGGTTCTTAAACTTTTCTACTCTACCTGAGCACAACAGGGCCAACAAGCACTTGTCTCATTCACCAATTCACACAAGCACCTTTTTCTATGCTTTTTCTACACATGGGCTTTCTATCTAACATTCACACACATTCACACTCTAATGGATGCATTGGGGAGCAACTTGGACTTAGTATCTTGCCCAAGAATATTTAGCATGCAGACCAGAGGAGCCAGGGATTGAACCAGCAACCTTACATGTAGTAGATGATCTACAACCCGACCCTAACCCCAGCTATAAGCTTTAAATTAGCAGTTTGCATCACAGGGGCTGTGATGGACAGGTTCAGTTTTCAGTGTTAAACTGAGGCACACCATGGTGGCAACATAAGTATTGTTTTAAAGCATATTTGTGCACTAAATCATACTTGTTATTAACATCTGGGTCTCTTCCACGGCATGTCTTTATCCTGTTTTCCTTCTCTCACCCAAACCAGTCGCAGCAGATGGCCCCGCCCCTCCCTGAGCCTGGTTCTGCCGGAGGTTTCTTCCTGTTAAAGGGGAGTTTTTCCTTCCCACTGTCGCCAAAGTGAATGCTCATTGGGGCTCGCATGATTGTTGGGTTTTTCTCTGTGTGTGTTACTGTTGGATCTACCTTACAATATAAAGCGCCTTGAGGCGACTGTTGTTGTGGTTATATAAATAAAATTTAATTGAATTGTTTATTTTTTAATCAGAAAACGTATTTGACATTATACAACAGATTAATGAGTACAGAGGGATCAGAACTAGAACTTGCTTTAGAAGACACCAATTTTTATGACTTCTTGAACATTAAAGTAATCCACTGTCAGTTGTTAATTGTCGTAGGCTGTGGCATCACTTCAAAGTGATAAATCACACTGGGCCCCTTCTTCTTTTGGGCAAGTCACAATGAATACCTGCACCCATGAAATGAAATGATTTGCTAGTGATTATCCCTTTTTCCTCAAATGTGACTTTGGACAGAGATGTTGTCAGAAGGTTTTTCTTTTATTAGTTTATGTTGAAAGTTTCATAAATATATTGCTGGAAAGAAAAGTCAGAATTGTATCAGTGCTGTTACCTTTCTGAGGGGGTCCTTGCTGAGGCAGATCTTGCTAACAGCCCAGATGGGTGCTACAACCACAGAGGAGAGGGCCATGACCCAGCCCAGATGGTAGGCCCAGTTTGGGTACATGTAGCCTTCGTTGGATGTCAGGGGCTGGTAGTCCAGAAAGAAGCCGATGAAGCAAACCTTTAAGGAAGTAACAGAAGAATAAACAGGCAGCACTAATATCATCAAGCATATGAACAGATAGTGTAGAAGAATTGTGTCCTTAGCAACCAACATGTGCAACTTTTCATTCAGAAATGACACTGTTTTTAATCATGATTTTTCCTTTACTTCTTTATCTTTTAATTAAATGTTCTTTCGTTTTTAACATGATACTATACTAGTTGTATGCATGCAGTCATATGGTTCTCCATCTTAAATGTTAAGCCTGAGGACAAGATGACTTTGGGCCACTGAGCAACAGTCAGTCACCATCTTCTGACATCATCTCTGCCTCACGAGTAGCTTGATATTAAGAATGTGACAATTGTAGTTCCTCTCCTGAAAATCTCTGTGTGGTGGCTCTTGATGCTCTGTCACCAGTCCTCTCGGCTGCGATCCTTCCTGTGTTTTGTACACCTTTTCCTAATATACTTTCCCTTTCCAGTCAAATTTCCATGAATACAGCAAACAGCCAGCATTTTTAGCACTGATCTTCTGGGGTTTACCCTGCTCTGTGTGCTGGACAGAGAGAAACATGCTATACATGCTGTTTGAACACCAATTTACTCAAAGTCAAAATGTAATGTTCTAATATAATGAAATAGTGAGTTCCTGATTTTTATTAGCTATGAGCCCAAATCATCAAAATGAAACATTCAAGACACAAATGGTCCTTTTTTTGAATGTTACAAGCTGGCTTATCAGTTCCATCATTCTTTGTCTTATCTCCAGGTTTACAGCTGCTGGTGAACAGCAGCTCTTGTGTTGCTCGTGCAGCAAATCCACAAAAAGTCTCACGTGTTCTTTATACAAATTCTACTTAAATTACAAATATAATATTATATTTTGTCTATTACCCTGCAATGTGTTATACACTGAACTGATCTAAAGGCAATCTGTTAGGATGCCTGGGTCGTTGACCCAGTGGTTTGAGTTTATTATATTATTTATCATTTCTGGTCTTTGTTAGAGTTCTGTCTTATGGTTTATGTCTTGGTGTAATCCTCAGTTGCTATATCCCCATGTCCAGTCAGTGTCTGTGTCTGCCCTGGTCCCACGTCTCTGATCCCTCTGTTGTAGTGCCTGCCTGTGAGTCTGTGTCTGTAAGCTCAGTCTGTGTTATGTTTCCTGTTTTACTTTGAAAGTCCGTGTCTTATGTAAATGCGTCTGGTTTTGCTTTCTTTGTCTCTTAGGCCTGATTTGCCCCAGCTGTGTTTCCATCCTGTTATCTATTTCCTGATTGCTCCCTCTGTGTATTTAACCCTTTAAAGCCGGTCGGAGCGGGCACGCTCCATTTTGCGTAACTATTTTTAAATCACGGTAGCACTGCAACCACGTAAGCTAGCACAATAATTTTTTTTGCATATGAAACCGGAGGAGTTGTACTTACATCTTATGCCATCAGCTTGTCCTAGGTCACCGTTTCCTTCCACATATAGCTTTGCAAAAACTGCATAAAAAGCACTTGCAGCAGCAAAAACATAATATTCCAGAAACAGGTTTTGCCGATCCGATCAGCTGTTCATAACACTTCCTACGTCCATCAGCGTGAACTATCGCATGTCCGCCATGACCTGCCCGAACCGGAAGTGACGTCATTTCGCAGAAATGTAGTTTTTTACCATCAGGGCCTCATGAGCCTATACTTGTGTTTTTAAAAGTTATGTTTGACTTTATGACTTTCTGTGTCGTTTCTGGGATGCTTAGGACTCATATCGCACTGCTGGAAATAATTTATTTTGATGCACATGCTGCTTTTTTGCAAATTTGCATTATAATATTTATTTTCGTTTTTCCTGTAGTATATGAAAATTGGTGTATTTCAAAAATAAAACTATGAAGACACTTAAAATAAATTTACTGTGGTAGGAAACTAGTTTGTGCAACTTTTTTGTATTTACAGTTTTGAGGGATAAGCCTCTTAAATTTCTTTAACTAGAAATATATGTTAAAAAAAAAAACAAAACGATTTTAATTTTTTTTGTAGTTTATTGCATTTTTTTGCAATTTATGTAATTACTATGCACTTAATGCATACTACATATTATTAAAATTTGGGCTATAGTGGTTGTATTGATGTTTCGAGTTCACGTTCCGCCTCCGAGTGTCTGCACATTGGGTCCTCCTACTACCACTCCTGCCTGCACACAGCCTACACTTAACACAATCTATGTTACTGGGATTAAAATTTTCACAATCTAGGTTCCAGCACTAAAAGAAAATCATTACTGGACAATATGTGCCAGTTAGAAACACCACATTTGGACAAACCTCAGACATGATTGTTTTGATAACAATAAAATCTGTAGAAACACCAACCAAACCAAAATTATTTGATTTGCTTTACTCATTTTCACATCACATGCCGACAGTTATTGCATAAAACTGCACAGCTGAGGTCCACTGTGGGAGTGCAAATTTTGGCTTCCAGCTATTTATAGCATTGTTGAGACAACAGAGGGTAGTACATGAGATTTGTAATCAGTCCTAACTTCTCTGAGACATGTTTCCTAAGTTCATCAATGGCACAAAATCAAATTCTTCCTGACTGGCAGCGTTGGGGCCATCTTCATCTTCACAGCTGTTGCCACTAAAACCTTTAAATGAACTACAACTCAAAGCAGCTGAACCTCTGTCTAATGATGTAGCACTGCTCAGTGAACAATGCAAACAGACACACTCCTGGACCATGTTGTCTAGTATACAGGCACTGTGCAATAAACCATGGCTAGATCACCCTAAAACGACAGGCTTTGCCTTCTGTAACATCTATCCTGAATCAGCTGCAAATAAATGTTTTAATAAGTAGCTTAAAAAATGTCACTTCTGCAGATCTTAACAATGTGTAACTCACCACAGAGATCAGGGGGGTGAAGTAACGCCAGCACAGCTTGAAGAATACCGATGGCCTGTGTCCTGTCATATCTTCAACTACATCGCACATCCGTTCAGCCCCTGAATGACATACAAAACAATTCTTAAACTAAACTTTAATTCTTTAAAACTTTTACAAGTAACAGCATGTATTGGAATTACGACAGTGAAACTAAAAGTAAATTTATCAAAAAGGATCCTTTTGCAGTTTCCCTTATGCAGTTTTGCTGTATGTTAAAGCAATTGTAGAGAAATGTATTGGTATAACATATTACATTATATCATATTATATTATATTACCTACCAAAGGACTTTATGTACAGTTAGGTCCAAAGGTTTTGGACAGTAACACGTTGTTTTATTTTGTGTTTTCCTCTGTATGCAAACACTGTGGACTGTAAGTCAAACAAGATGTGATTGAAGAAGTGCAAACTTAATTTAACTAATTTGAATTGACTCTTTAGGATTTGCTGCCATTTGTATACAAAGCCCAGTTACGTTCAAAGGTTCCAAAATACAACCCCCAAGTCCAAAAAAGTTGGAAGTCTGTGTAAAATGAAAAAAAAAGAATGCAATGATTCCTTATCATTCATTCATTCCTTGAGATTTTTACATGTGTTGAGGAAGTAACCTTGACTTTTCTCGTTTCCTTCAGTTCCTTGTCAACTTCTCACCTGGTTTTATTACAACCCCAGAAGATTATATGTTTGCACAGCTCCCTTAAATAAGGCAGCCTCTATTAAACCTATTTCACTCTGCCCTGCTAACATTGTGTGTTCTCTCTGACTCCCTGAGTATAAATCTGCGGAGCTGAGGATCTCCTCCTGTGCCCTTTCATTAACTCCCATTATTTACTGTTTAACCAACAGACCTTTAAAAACTGTCTGCTGCTCTTTGCTTCTGCTCACTGGGAATGTTATTTGTCTCATTATCACAAGTACAATAGTAAAAGCTTGATAGCATAAGAGTCTGGGTGCTGAATTGGCCTGCATGCAGTTCAGACCTCTGACTTAATAAAAACATTTGGAGCATCATGAAATGAAAACTAACAAAGAAGGGCCACGACTGTAGAGACGCTACAATCCTCTATCAGCAACATTCCTCTAATAAAAGTGCAGCAGCTGCTCTCCTCCGTTTAAACATGTTTTCAGTATTCTGTTGTGAGTTAAATGTGGGCTTATGAGATTTTTAGGTGCAAACTTTCTGGAACACTGTGTAAATAGAAAGAGACCAAATTGTGTTTCCTCACTTGAAATACTCCATTAGGTCTTTATTGCGGACAACATCAGTTGCTGTTTTTGGGTTTAGATGAGGTGACAAAACCGGCCATTGAGGAATATCCCATTTATTTACCTTGAGAAACTTTTGGGTTGCTCTCTTTGCTCAGTGTTGCAGCATTAGTCTAAATGTGAGCAGAGTACAGCCCTGCAACACTACATCCTGCTGCTTCTATCAGGAGCCACATCACCAACAAACACCAGTGACCCACTTCCACTGGCAGCCATACACCCCCTTCCATAACAATGCCTCATGAGTGTTGTTGCCTTGGTTAAATGTTGTGAAAACATTTTTCTTAAAAAAGTTAATACTTCAGGAAACTGTCTGTCAGTTACGCACGTTCTTTTGATCCAGTGAAAAAGGAAGACTGTTTATAATACTGGCTATACTTCTTAAACAGTGAATACAGTGCTTTTGTTAACCCCCTTGAGTTAAAGATGAAAATCTGCACTTCAATCACATCTTGATTGCTTGATTTAAAATCCACCACAGTGGAGTACAAAGACGCAATATCACAAAAACTGCATCACTGTTCAAAAATATGTGGTCTTGACTATAACAGGCTCCTTGATGCAGTTCATGAGCCTTTAAAGGTTTGAAATAAGAATTATTAATAAACGTTTTCAGTACCAAAGCCTTCTTTAGGTTCTGTAAACGAACTATAGCTTTAGACATGACAGTGGTATTTAATTTTTACTCTCACTCTCAAAATCAGAATATGTTTGTCCCCAAAAGAAAGATTCTCCTAAACTATAATTTAAAGCCAAAAACCTCAGTGAAGACTGAGGTGTTTAATTTAATGCTAACTCTGGTTACCTATTTACAATTTAAATCCAGCCCTTTGTGTATTTTCTGCCTCCTGATAACAAAGGCTAATAGCGAGGAATTCAGGACTTACCGAAGCCCCAGCCAACAGCCCCACATTGGAGCAGACCCACGAATAATATGCACGCTCCATTAGCAGCATAGTGGTCGGTTAGCTGGAACAGATAGACTCCTCCCTGGACAACAGACCACAGTGACATAGTGTACATATACACTGAAAGGTGTATTTCGACTCCTATGTAAATCTGTTGCAAGTTAGCTGTCCTGTGCCGTACCTGAGTGGTGAGGGAGATCTGTATGATGAAGCAGACTAAGCAGAAGACTATGAGGAAGACTTCTCTGCGCCAAGGTCTGCGCATCTGTCCTGGGAACATGTCAATCACTGATGATGTTATAGTCTCCAAGCCTGTAAACTAGCACACACACACAGGGTTGAAAAAAAAACATTATAAATGAGAATAAAGTCAAGGATAGTTTTTCTTCTTTATGGGTCAAGACAACAATGAAAGAGAATACAGTTTAGATCCACGGGCATGAGAGTAATGGTAATTTGGGGCTTTTAATCATTTCTTGAGCTTTTGTTTTTCCAGGATCGAATGATTGTACAGCATACATCTTTAATGACTTCAAAGATTCATTTTGGATTTTCTTTAATGCACACTGAGTCAAAAGTATACATATACATACATTCCTACTAATATTTAGTGAAATGTCCCTTAGCATGTTGCACCATGTTCAGGTCCTTTTGCTCGCCATCAGCAAGCTTCTGTCATAATGCTGGCTGGATATTCAATCACTCTTCTTTTCTTCACACTTCTAAAAACACGAGGTCTTACTTTAGTAGTGGAAGAGAAATGACGAATGATACCAGAAGGTTTCAGGTGAAGGAGCCCTACATGCTTAAAAATGTCCACAAAAACGATGGTGTTTAACAAACACTCAGCTAATTACAGCACTGGGAAGCTGCAGAGCTCAGATGCATGGTAACAACATCTCAACAGAACACTACTGGTGTCTGAACTACAGGAGTCATATTGTGTGTGTATGGCACGTCCTAAACTCAGCTGTCATTCCTCTCAACCCTGTTACTACAGAAGGATTTCGGATTTGTATGGATACTGTCTGAACTGCATTGGAACAAGAAAAATTAAATACATGTGCATCTACTGTCACAAGCTCTGACAGTAAACCACCGTTCAGTTTGTATATTGTTGCATTATCAGTTCTGGACAAAATAATAAGAGAGAGACCAAAGTGTTTCATTTCTAAGGTTTTAGGTATCAGAACATAGGAAAAGTTATCCGGTGCTTGACGGGAATCGAAATAACATAAATACAACCTCAGATGAACGACACAGCATGAAACACAGTGTAATAATTTATTTAACAAAAACTAAGTGGACCCCATAACAAGTTAGCTTTTGGAACATCTTTGGCAATTGAAGTAATTTTTTTTTTATGTATGACTTTATTAGTCTCAGATCGTTGTGGACGAATTCTGGCCCAGTCTTTTTACAGCAGTGAGGTCAGCTCATTGAGGTTTACATTCATTTATGTCAAAGTGTCTCAAAGTCCAAACACTGGTTAGGGGCAAGGTGCTCCGTTTTGTTTTTGTTGAACTGATAATTACATGGTATAATCTCTAAAAATCTTGCTCATGATAATTTTAGATCCTGGTAAGGACCAGATAATATTGCCTGGTTCTGCCGGAGGTTTCTTCCTGTTAAAAGGGAGTTTTTCCTTCCCACTGTCGCCAAAGTGCTTGCTCATAGGGGATCATTCGATTGTTGGGTTTTTCGCTGTATGTATTATTGTAGGGCCTACCTTACAATATAAAGCGCCTTGAGGCGACTGTTTTTGTGATTTGGCGCTTTATAAATAAAATTGAATTGAATTGACTTGACTTGAACAATTTTTTTGTGTCCTGATACATAAAACCTTTTTTAGACCCTTTGCCACATGTCTTCCTCTTTCCGCCTCCTTTCCTGTCAAGTCTTCACTGTACTTATCTAATCAAGCCAGAAAAGGGCCCTTTTTTAAAGTATCCATTTAGTTTACTATGACAACTAAATATGTAGGTAGAATAAGAGGGTGAGGAAAAAAAATCAAACAGGATTTTTAGGAGTTTCATAAGTCAGTGTGATGTTATGAAGTGCTCTTTAAGTGGTGTCATTATTCAAACAAGAAAATCCTGAGTAGCAAAGTATGAGCAGCGGTGACAAGTCTTGGTAAGTTAAACAAAAAGATTTTGGGGGAATAGCATGTGAGAGTTTTACCTTACCACTGTATCAATCCCCAACAAAATGAGCATTAAGAAGAAGCATGCTGCCCACAGCTGAGGAACTGGCATCATGGCTGCAGCCTGAGGAAATGCAATGAATGCCAGCCCAGGGCCTGGGAGCACATGAGAGTCATTCACATATCTGTCGCCTCTGTTTGACTTGTATCATATCGTTTGCAACAAATTTGTGACAGTTAAGATAAAATACAAAATTTCTAAATACAAAAGCTTCTCCTACCTGATTCCACCACCATGTTAATAGGAATTCCCTGTTTATAGGCCATGAAGCCCAGAGCTGAGAAAACCGTGAACCCGGCAACAAAGCTGGTGGTACTATTCAGCGCACACAACCACAGACTGTCCCTGAGCGCACACACACACACACACACACACACACACACACACACACACACACACACACACACACACACACACACACACACACAGTGTAAGAGTATTTGATGACAGTGGTCACTTCACTGTCCCTCAAAAAAAGGGACAGGTTGACGCTTCCTACAGTGTAGCATAAGCGTCTGTGAGCTGAGAAGCAGCTGCTGGAGAGGAATGTTGTCCCATTCTTGTCTGATACAGCATCCTTGCTGTTCAGCAATCCTGGCTCTGCTTTGTCCTGTTTTTATTTAGAGATGCTCTAAATGTTTTCAGCTGGTCAAAAGTGTGGACTGCAGGCAGGCCAGTTCTACTATCAAGCCATTGTGTTGGAATAGCAGCATTATGCAGTTTATTACTGCATTGCTGAAATATGCACAGTCTTCTCTGAAGAAGACTTGACCTGGACGGTAGCATGATATACACCTACATCTCATTTGTCTTTCTATGTACAACATGAACTGTATTGAAACCCAGATTCTGTGCAGCAAAGCATTTGCCGAAGGTAACATTAAGTGCGGTGCTCATGTAGTGAACCATTGGCTCCGTTTATGGTCATTGGACTCTGGAGCAGTGCTACCATGTTCCAACAAACATCACTGCTGAGCTCGTCTTTTCTTCTTTCCAAAACCATTAGAATTTTGTCTCTAGCTTAAACATTAACTGAGTTACAGTCATTTGAAGAACGCTTGTGGAATGGGCCCGTCGGCAGCTTGTGGTACACATTATTTACTTGTAACAGTTGTTGTGTTTTCTGTTGTAGCTGCCCAGTGTGATCAAGCTCCCTGATGAAACACCATACGAGAAGAGGACCTGAGCACAAGCATCCATCCAGACCTGATTAAAGATTAGAAAACACGTAAAGTCATCAGTACTATATCATGCAGTCACAGAGATGTTATTACTTTGCAGCACAACCGATCGCAAGTAAAAGGTTTAACTTTCCAGGATTAAAGCATTATACAATAAAACAATAAAAGTCCTTTCACAAATGCCGTATCTCGAACAAGTTCAAAGGTTTCCCCACCTGAAGCTCTGCCAGACGAGAAGGATCTGGATACAGGTAGTAGACCACGCCCTCCCAGGCACCTGGCAGTGTCAATCCCCTGACCAGCAGGATGGCCAACATCACATAAGGGAAAACAGCTGTGAAATACACCACCTGAAAGCAAACAGAAATCATTTTGTTTGGCAGAATGAGGAAATATCCTGTAGTATTTCATTTTCCCGCTTGTATCAACATTATTTTTATTCATTTGTTGAGTCATTTGTTTTTTGTTTTTTCTGTTTCCATATATTAACTGTAGAGACCTGGAGTCTGCACACAGTTTCCAGTCTCCTAACTCCCTGTTTGTTTCCTTTTTTTGTATGATACTCTCAACAATAGCAATACACTATCTCAGTCTGCTTCAAAGTTCAAGAGCAATGACCACAATCTCCCATTATGTATAAACAGGAGCAAAGAGTGTGAATGTTAGACAGAAATCACTTAGGATGTTTATCGATTACAGCAAGTCATCCAGGTCCTGAAGCAGCAAGCAGCCCCAGACCATCACACTACCACCGCCATGTTTAACTGTTGGTACGATGTTCTTTTAATGAAATGCTGTGTTAGTTTTATGTCACATGTAACAGAGTCAAACCTTTCAAAAAGTTCAGCTTCTGTCTCATGAGTCCACAGAATATTTTCCCAAAAGTCAGTCACCAAGTTATTTTTTTGGCAAATGAGCCTTTGTGTTCTTTTTGGTCAGCGGTGGTTTCTTCTTGGATTTCTCCCATGGATCCATTTCCCCCAGTCTCTTTCTTACTGTTGAATCATGAACTCTGACCTTAACTGAGACAAGTGAAGCCTGCAGTTTTTCAGATGTTTTTGTGGGTTCTTTTTTGACCTCCCAAATGAGCCTTCATTGTGCTCTTGAGGTAATTTTGGATGGAAGGCAGCTCCTGGGAAGATTCACCACTGTTCCAAGTTTTCTCAGTATTCGGTTAATTGGTTTCACCATAGTAACTAAGGCCTTAGCAATGGCTTTGTAAACTTTTTCCAGACTTATAGATGTCAGTGTCTGTGAGCTCAGGTGTTTCTTAGATTGTGGCATGATGCGTTGGTTTTGGAGATTTTTTATAGTCTATGTCATTTTATCAAACAGATGATTCATTGGGCGTGGGAATAATCAGAACGAGCGGGGCACAATAACTTTTCCACACAGGGCCAGGTAGGTTTGAGAGCTTTTTTCCCTTTAATAAATGAAATAATCATTTATACACTGCATTTTCTATTTACTCTGGTTATCTTTGTCTAATAATAAGACTTGTTTGATGATCTGAAAGATTGATTTATTTATTGTTACATCCATAGTCATGTGAATAATACCACCATTGACAAGACACTACACTACAGGTGAACAAAAAGATGAAGCACCTGCTGAGGGACTAGATTCTGGATTTTGGGAGAGGAATGTCGTCCCGTTCTTGTCTTATACAGGAGTCTAGCTGCTCAACATTCTTGAGTCCACTTTGTAATGTTTGTTTTTCTTTTGTGAGGAAATGTTTTTAGTTGGTGAAAGGTCTGGACTGCCGGCAGGCGAGTTCAACACCCAGGCTCTTCTGCTATAAAGTCATGCTGGTGTAGTAGATGCCACACACAGTTTAGTATTGTCTTGCTGCTCAGAACAATGCAGCGTCCATGTTTTCCAAAAAGAATTTCCGTTTAGAATTCGTCTGACCACAGAACAGTTTTCCACTTCTCTTCAGTCCATTTTAAATCAACTTTAACAGAGAGAAGATAACAGGGTGTCTGGATCATGTTCACAGTGCATTGTTTGACACGAAACACAACGGGCGTGTCAGGAGGTGGAGCAGGTCATCTACTAATTGGAAAATGGATGGTCTGATTCCCAGATACTCTGGTCTATATACAAGTATCCTTGCTACAGATATACCAATATCCTAGATACTGAACCCCAAGTTGCTCTCCGATAAGTTTATCAGTGTGAATATTAAACAGAAAGCACTTCTTTAAAAATGCTTGTATGTGAAAAAGGGATGTTGTATAAAGCACTCTGAGTGCTCAAATAGAGTAGAAAACGCTATATAGAAAACATTTACCACAATCCTAGAGAGTGAGAGGCCATGAAAGTGAAAATCTTCCACTCCTTGGGAGCGGAGGAGTACCAATGGCCAATTTATAAGAACAAGATGGTTTGAAACCTGTTACGATGTTGGTTTGGATACAGTGGCATTGACAAAAAGACAGGAGGACATCTGGACAACTCCCAGTGAAAATCGTATGTATGTATCTCAAATGGCTCTTCTCTGTTTTTCATCATAGGTTTTTCATCTTTACAGACCTTTCCTGCTGAGCGGACGCCTTTCCAGATGCTGAAGTAGCAGGCCACCCAGCAGGCCAGGAGGCAAAGCAGCACCTCCCATTTTACTGCACCAGGCTCCTCTATTCCTGCGGATATGGACAACACTTGTCTCCTGTGGAGAGTAAACAGAGATGGTTAGCTATGCATAAATATTTAACAAGAACATAGTGTAGTTCTGGTTAAATGAGCTGCAATGTAATGTGAAAAAAAGTAAAAATAGCTGACTCACTCCCAGAACTCTGAGACTGAAGATTTTGTGAGATTTCCCAGTTTCCAGTCTATTGTCGCGTTGCCACTGTGTACTGCAGTCTGGTTTGCAGAGGTGATGTCCACACATCTATCTGTGGACATCAGTTCAGAGATGTAATGGTTAGTTCCTCTGTTTGAATGTAACATTGGTGAATAAAAGAGTGATGGGTGTTTTTGAATCTGGACAAAACAACAAAAAACATATATTTGTTTGTTTCAAGACACTGGCTGCAACACAGCGCAAATATGTATTTATATTCACATCAAACTTAAGGAATCAGTTACAAGTGATTGAAATGTAATGTGAAGTATCCACTTCAATCCATAAGTATTTGGACAGCGACAAAGTCTTTTGCCTTTGTACATGGCTGCTGTTAAATCAAACAAGATTGGAGGGCAGATTTTAAACTCTTCCCAAGAGATACTTTGACAAAAGTTCTGTAAGAGCTAGGCATCGAACCATCGGCCTTCTGACAACCTGCTCTTTCTCCACAGCAGCAGCCACCCAAAAAACCCCTATAATCAGTGAATTAGTGCAACATTTAGTTGAATCTGAACAGAGGATATCTGGTGATGTCTATTTTGACCCTGCTGTCCTTGACAGTAATCAAAGTGTTTACAAGGTGTAAAGGTTTACGCCTTGTTGTAAACCCTCCAGGTTTACAGCATGGTGTGCCGGTGCATTCCTACTTTTTAAGAATGTATACGAGTGGGTCACTACTGAAGGTTAGGTTTGTTTTGGTTGCTCAGCCTAATGCTGGCCTCATTGACTTGTGTCAGCATCCCTTTTCTCGTTTTGAGAGTGCCAGTGAACAGCTACCAAACGCCAGTTCAACTCCTGGAATCAGTGCCAGAAACAATTAATGTGATTCTTCCGTCAAAACCTGTGAATTAAAGCTGAAAGTCTGCACTTTAATCGTGTCTTGACACTTTGATTTAAAATCCACAGTGGTGGTGTACAGAGGCTAAATTGTAGAAATACCAACCATTTAACAATGCACTGCTTAAACAGCTATACATACATCACTCAGTCATAACATTATGGCCACCTGCCTGATACTGTTTTGGTTGCTCTTTTATTGTCAAGCAGCTCTGACCTGGAGTCCCCCTGATGGTGTGTTGTGGTATGTGCACCAAGGTGTTAGCAACAGATCCTTTAAGTCCTCTAAGTAGCAAGATGATTTGGGTATTTTGGAGAGATTTTAGCAATTTAACACTTCAAACTCTTTGTTATGCTCCTCAGACTGTTCCTGAGCCATTTTTTTGCTTTGTGACAGGGCGCCTTATCCCGCTGAATGAGACCACAGCCATCAGGGAGTACTGTTTCCATCAAAGGCTGTATGGGGTCTGCAACACTGCTTGGGTAGGTGGTTCGTATCAAGGTCAAATGTTGTCAAAGATTCCCGAGGTAAGCGAGGCAGATGCACCTGGCCATCCACTTGATGTAAAAGAAATTGTAATTCATCAGACCATGCGACCTTCTACCATTGCTCTGTGGTCCAGTTCTAATGCAGACTTGTGCCCATTGTTGGTGCTTTAAGTGGTGGACAGGGGTCAGTATGGGCGCCCCGACTGGTCTGCAGCTATGCAGCCTCATACACAACAAATTGTGATGCTCTATGTTTTCTGACACCTTTCTGTGAGAACTAGAATTAACTTTTTGGGTGCAGTTTGACCTGCCAGCTTTCACTCCTCTCATGCATCAGTGAGCCTTGGCCACCCGTGATCCTGTCACTGATTCACTACTGTTCCTTTCCAGGCAGATTTTTTTTTTCTGCTTCTAACATGTTTACTTTGAGGAAAAAATTCTGCACTTGCTCTTTAACATATCCCACCATATGCCACGATGAAGAGATAATCAGTGTTATTCACTTTACCTGTCAGAGTATTATGCCTGATCAATGTTTAGCCTTAAATCAGCCCTCTAAAGCTGCCTGCACCATTCTGAGAGGATGCATTATGCTGACCCGATTAAAGTCCAATCTAACAGCTCAGTTTGCTAACACATTCAAACAGCATTGAAGCATTGAGACTTGTTCTGTGGTGAAAGGTATAGCTTGAACATATAAATAGGCTAGCTGTTTTCCTAGCTGTAGAGTGTGGGAGGACATGTCAGAAAAAAGGGTGCCTGGAAAAATAATCTGACCTGTGTTCCAGGAATTGTTGCAGGTAGCCCAGGGCAGAGGGTCTCGGAAACAGTAAACAAGATAGAGAAGGGCCCAGGCCAAAACAATGCTGTAGACTCTGGAATATAGCTGGATCATGATGATAGAATAACCAGCTCCTGAAGAGAGAACGCATCCAAAAAACTAAATAAATAAATCAGTTTAAGCAGTAATATGACGGAGCACTGATATAGCTAAAAACAACAACAACATGTCAATGTTAAGCAAAATAATTAAGCAAAAATAAGAAGTAAATATGGCAGCTACATCTGCAAGTCGTAAGCCAGTGAAAGCAGGTTAAAAAATCTAAATGAAGCATATAGTATATAAATTATTGTTCAAAACCACTGTCACAAATATTTTTTGATTATTACCACAGCCTGCAGAGAAAACTGGGACTAAGCCTCATTCTTTAAGAAGTAAATGTGTTACAGCATTCATCAGTTTTATTAAGACATGGCTGGTGTGGCTCAAAAAAACAAAACAAACAAACAAACTCTATTTTGCCTAAATTAACCCTAAGCTTTTTTTTGCTTTTAATATTTTTAATCTGAATTCCCATCACATACAGAACATTTTAAGATCCTCTGGATTTGTAAGTAAATATTTAAACAGAAATGATCTCATTACCCTGTGCCAGCGGGCAGAGCTTGGTCCAGCAGGTGATAGTGCCCTCCTGTGTGTACTGACCAATCACAGTTTCCAGGAGGAAGAGTGGCATGCCACACAGTACAGCAAAGAAAAGGTAAGGCAACAAGAAGGCACCTACACACACACGAACACATCGGAGACGATGAAAAAAGACAGATAACAAAAATCAAGGCAGTGCTGAAGGCAGTTAGCAAACTACTGGAGCTGCAAAATGGTGCAATGAAGAACAGAGTGCCCACGAAATTCAACAAGCTGTCCATTTCTGAGGCCTTAGAAACTGCCATACAGCCGAGAGACAGAAGGAGAATAAACTGTAGGCTGTACTCCACTGAACCATCCAAGGTGTACTCTCAGTGGTGAGGGAACAATATGAGAACAGCCCCACCGTGGCTGGAAATGGAGCAATGCTGTATGAGCATCTGGGAGAAGGACACAACCCATGACAACAATGCTCAGTGGCTAGTAGATCTAAGAGAAGACCACAGCAACCTCTCTGAACAGGGTCCAGTAAGCATCACAGTGGCAGACATCCAAGAACAGGTCTCCAGTATGAAGAGTTGGACAGCATCAGGCCCCGACATGATTCATATCTACTGGCTAAAAAAGCTGACTGCACTCCATGAGCGTATGGCAGCACAAATGAACCAGCTGATAACCCATGAGCAGACCCAGAATGGATAACTGAAGGCCGAACAGTCCGGGTCCCCAAGGACCTCCAGAAAGGACCTGTCCCAGCTAACCACCAGCCAATAACCTGCCTCAGTACCACATGGAAGCTCCTGCCAGGCATCATAGCGGCTAAGATGAACAGGCGCATGGCTCAAGTTAATACTGAATGTGGAAAACTGCTTTTCATTTCTATTCTCAGACCACAGTGCTATCAAAAATGACTTCTATAGTCATTGTTGTTCAGTTCAAATCCTTTTGTGTTTTCTCTGCCTGTTTAAATCGGTTTGCCCTTCATATCTAGATTTTGTATCCTTAATCGATACAATTCTATATTTTTCAGTTTTATTGTGTTTGTGTTACCATATCTATTTTGTTGTTTACAGTGTTTCTTTTAATTGCCCATACCTTTTTCATGTCATTTTAAATACTATGGCTTTCTGCCATAAGGTCTTGTAAGTTTATATACATGAGAACAAGGAAATAAGTCTTTGGTGGGCAGGTAAATTTGAGGATTTTCCACACTAAATTTCGTACTGAAATAGCAAGCTAACCCTGTGCACTGAAGGTGGGAAAACATATAAGGAGTGAAACGTTGAGACGATGCACACATTAGTAATAGAAGCAGTAAATATGAGATTTCCAGCACAACAAGCTGAGGCGCAACATTGTGACATCTTGATAAAAGATAACCGTGAAACACTCCAATGCTCGCAGGCTGGCTGAACTCACTCAGTCTCAAGGATAATGTATTAAAGTGATTCACCTTTGTCCAGGTGTGAAACTACTGAACGTGCTCTACTTTCACTGTTGCAGTAGTTCTTTACCCTCATAAGTACACACTGCATGAGTATAAATGTAATGTACTTGGTAAAAGTCATTTTCAGCATTTACACAGATGTAACTGTCTTAACCCTTGTGTGGTGTTCGTATTTTTGTTACTCAGCCAGTGTTCATGGGTCTGGTGGACCCGCTAGAGTTTTGGCTTTCCAAATTAACACTATCAAACAATTTTATGTTAAATTACTCAACAGATGTTTACTTCATCCCAATTACAAACCATATGAACAGCAAACATGGTTAATTTTTTCCCTTTACCTTTGTTAGATCACATTTATGAATTAATGTGCTTCTCGTTTTTCTTTTATATAAAATGTTGTAAAAAAATC